AAACAATAATAAAGTTAAAATGAAGAAAACGTAGGTATGCTTGTTAAATAAATCGTTTGTATTTATAAACATATTTACATGAATTTAAAATAGTCAAAAAGAATAAAAATATTTAGTTGGGTAGTTAGTCCAAAGAAAAATTCTTGGTTTTAGAAATACTTTTAGTTTTAAGTACTTGGTCCACAGTAAAAATCTGTGGTTGAGAAAAAAATACTTTGATCGTCAGCGAAGATTCCCTGACCATCCCTGCAGTTGTTTTTGGAGATGATTAGCTTGAAGTCACCGGCACACGTTCATTTCAGCCCGCGCTGGAGGGAAGGAAAAAGCTATTTAATCACATTTTCTCTTGTGTTTGAACTTCTTGGAGCATTTCTGCACCTGAAAGTTGAAATCTATATATTTTTTTTGTTTTTTTAAAATATTTTTCGAAAGTAGGCTTGAGAAATATAGGTTTTTAATTTTCTCTGATTAACGAAATATTTCACTTGGTGATGTTAATTTCAAACCAACAGACATTTTGAGTTAAACGCTGTATTGTGGAATATTTTGGCATGTTTGTAAATATTGTCTGTTATTGGGTAAGAAATAAAGTCTGGACGTGTTTTAATATGGTATATATGAGGGTATGTAATTACCAGGATCTAACACCCTGTGAATATAAACGTTATGAACTTCGTGTTCTTGAAGAGTGTCTTTTATGGGGTAAACGTGTCATAAAACCCCCACCTGACAGGTATCAAATATTACAAAAACTATACGTAGGACATCCTGACAGATCAAGAATGAAGTCGCTTGCCCTATGTCAGGGTATAAAAAAATAGCTTGAGGTTGTTGCTGACCAATATACTATAAACCAAACAATCAGAAAATGCCTGTCGTTGCACCATTGTACCGTTGGCTTTAACTTAATAAACCATAAACGAGAATCCACATTGATTATACGGGGTCGTTGTTGGCCCAGATGTTTCCAGTTATTGACTCTGTTGATGAATAGGTTTTCTTATACACGTCAGTGGTCACCAAAATGTTGTGGGGGATTCACTCACATCATAGCAACAGAAATCAGCCTTTTTGTAGACACGTAGGTAAAAGCATATTTGACAAGAAATAAAACATACACATACATGGCACTGTTCAAGAGCTAGAAAGAGTTGGAGTTGTAGCAAGAGCGCAATGTCAAGGATTGGACCTGTGAGTTGAAATTTTTATCAAACCATATTGTCTGTATTACATGGCCGTCCAGAACCTGGTCTACGAATAAAGGAAAGTTTAACAACTGTTGCCAACATAAAAGCATTTCCGACCTGACACGTCCAACAAGCGTAGCAGTTCTTCGAAATAACCATCAATCCTCAGAATTCGATCTTTTTCATTCAGCTCTAATTGAACAAAATCATCTCCGTTACATAATACTTGGTTTCATTGCATTTTTCAGTTATAGCAGCACGCATCACCGTTTAATGCAGACAGTGTACTAGTATGAGTGCTACTACATTACGTAATGTCTGAAGTCTGAAATTTTATAGACAATATTTAATCCTTAACATGCAACCCCGGTTAAAATTACCATCGTCGTTTAGATCAATGCGGTTTGATTTTCGGTTATCATATATATATATATATATATATATATATATATATATATATATATATATATATAACGAATATGAGAAAACTTCTCCTAGATAAAAACTTATTGAATACCATCCAAAAACACACTGACATTATACGGATTACCAAAAGCACATAAACCGAACATACCATATTAAAGTATCAAGCTCTGTTTCATCTTCAAGCGAAAATTTCGCTTGAAGATGAAACAGAGCTTGATACTTTAATTCAATTAATTTTAATAATTATATTGTTTTTGGCTCTTGGTTTTGAAACATGAGAACTCTTATGCAGCGAAGGAATCATATTTTAAAAAAATAATTATAATTTAGGCTCTACTTTTGTATTGAGCAATGTTTTTTAAAAAAATAAAAACAAAAATACTAAAGAACTTCGGATTATTTACCTAACGTGCTCTTTCCTATTTTTCTATATATTTGCACACACACACACACACACACACACACACACACACACACACACATATATATATATATATATACATATATATAGTGCGATAGTTAAATAGTTGGTATTTTTTATTTTTCATTTCGTGCATGCGCGTTTGTTTTTTATTTTGACGACTGCACAGTATAGTAGGGTCAGTTGGGTCCCGTCTGTGAGAAAAAGTGCACCATGGCATAATTCACTCCGCCAGAAATTTGGAAACGGCTTGGCATTCCCACCGGAAGCTCCAATACGAACATTTCAGATTGTTTGGGTGTCAATCTCAGGACAGTACAGAAGTTTTGGAAAGAGTTGGATGAGTCTAATAGTGATTACGAAGGTATGCCAGCCCGGAATCTCACTCAGATCGTTCTGATAAAAAAAAGAACTCCCGAATTTGTTGGTGAGGGTCTCAGACTCTACATCAAGTGCCTTGAGGAGATATTGCTGCCCTGGGTCAAGAGGGTAGCTGCTGGAAGACCCTATGTCTTGCAACAGGACTCTGCACCATGCTAAGCAGAATAAACCAGTCATGGCTGTCAGACAATTTCTGCGACTTCTTACATCTGGCCACCTAACTCCCCAGACTGCACCCCCTTGAATTTTTATGTGTGATATCAGTTAAGGGAGACACTAACAAAACTCCTTGTAACAGCAAAGATGAACTTAAGGCAAGGATTATGGCAGCATTCACCAAGGAGACCGTTCAGAAGAGTTGCAGAAGATTCTGAAGTCGTCTGGAGGCCATGGTTGAAGCCAATGGCGATTTCCTTGAATAAATTTAGTATTAGAAGATATTTTTGTGTAGTTTTGGTAAATATATCTGTTAAAATGAGATGTCAGTGTTATTTTCATTTTTGCGTAATTTAGACGACAATTTATCCATCGCGCCATATATATATATATATATATATATATATATATATGTATATGTGTGTGTGTGTGTGTGTGTGTGTGTGTGTGTGTGTGTGTGTGTGTGTGTGTGTATTCTTTTACAGTCAAGCATTATTGCTGCTTAAATGAAGAGACAGAAAAGATGCATCCATTCAGGAATTCCAGCTGATTTCTCCAAACTTCTTGTTCAACTAATGTTAATGGAATCTTCAACAATTCAAACTGCGTAGTGAGTCGGTCCCTATTATTCATCAATGTTGATTGTCCAATGTTTGTCTATTTCGTACTGCTCTGCTCGTTCTTCTTAGACCAGCTGTTTTCAAACATCAACATTCAGGACACCCAAGCATTGATCGTATAACGTCAGTTGTTCCCAGTGTCAGATACTGATTGAATTTACAAGTAAATATCAAGCTTTTCGTGAAAAACCTGCCTCCATTGTACTAAAGCTCAGAAAACTACTCCTTAAATTGACCACTCGACGTTTATTTTATTCATAGCAGCCAGTTTTTGATTTCGTTGGTTTTTATCAATGAACTCAGCTACTTAGTTTTATTGACGATTACTCTAAATGGCAGGATGTTTTCTGTGTAACAGACGGACAAACCCAATAAATGGTTAACCAGCCAACCTAAAAACCTGATATCAGATAACATCACACAATTCATGTCCAAAGTTTTTCCAAAACGTGTGTCATTTCGTCTCCTCCGAGTATCCCTTCCCCCCAATCGAACGTTCAGGGAACGCGATTTGTCGCTTGATTGGTTAATAGATTTAATGACATATCAAAATCCCTGTTTAGGTATTTAATGTCGAAATCTGATTTTAAAAATATACTTTAATCGATAATTAAAAAAAAAATAATCAGTCGAGTTCGTTACATTCACTTTCATACAAATAAATAGGGAAATGTAAGAATCTATCTATTCTCTCCCCAGCTATGGGTCAAATAGTAGAGAAGATTGGTAACAAAGCTGAATAACTCAACCAGTCTAGAACAAAGACAACTCTGAATTCAAAATTGGTTTGTGCATGAGGCTTGCAACTCCATCTCGCGAAAAACCCTATTTGCTATGTTAACTGCAGTAGTGACTCCACCCAATGGTCGAAAGAAAGACATAGGCCGTGTTTATACTTGAGACAATAGACATTTAGGCACTTTTTAGTTATACGACCAGATATAATGCAAGTGAAGAGTTGTGCTATTTTAAACGACTTTATAGATTGTATTTGTTTTAATAAGAAATATTAATCTTAAAATTTTAATTATCCTATACTAACAGCTACAATATACCCACAATCTGGCTTCTATATAAGGTTAGGCAATAGTGGAATCCTACCGGTTTGCACAAGTTCGCGCGAATCGATTCTTAAAATTAGAAAAGCTTAGCAAACCGATTATATCCGAAAATAATCTTATATATTAATAGCCGATATATAATAGCTAAAAATATAATTAATACCATTGCTGTAAGTTCTGCAGAGGCTGAAAGAGGATTTTCTGTGATGAACAAAATTTATTTTGACAAAAGAAATTGTCTTGAAGTTAAAAATGTGGCAAATCTTCTGGTCATAAATTTGATAAGTCTTCCATTGGATCTTTGGAACTGAAGTGATTCAGATCGAATGTGGCTAAGAAAACATAACAACAGCTGATGACACTAGAGTCAAAAAGTATCAGACTTCTGAACAGAAATATGATAAGAACAGAATTTCAATCTGAGAATATAGTAATAAACTAAATGTTTTCTATTACATTATCAAAATGGTTTAATTCTTTTTGATACTATAAAGTAATTTGTTTCCATTTCCAGATTGAAAAGAAAATAAGCAGAATAGGTTCCTAAAGGTTACCGGCCTTTATAGAACCGTTTCCTGTAAATTTGGGATTTGGCCATTATTGGGGTTAGGATTAAGGTTAGTTTTTGTCCAAAATATGTTGTATAACTGAAAAGTGCCGACATTTGTTGTCCATACACGAGTTCGTAAGCATCCACCAGCTAGACTGCCCGATTTAGGGGGCGGGGGTCATCCCACTTCTGCAGGGGATGCTGTCCCGCGTATTCTACACCCCCAACGTATGAACCAAAAGCGATTAGCTGATACCTTTAAAATATGCGCCACTAGAGCACGCGGGAAAGGGAACAATAGCAGAAAATGTCCAGGCATTTCCCCTGGTACGAAGCCTAACAATGCAGTTAAAGATCATTAATAATAATAATGATAATAATTCATTCGTGATATATTACGACTTCGACGCAGCGCACGCAATGATCACGCTCAAACACTGAATAAGTCTGGCAAGATATTTTCACCGTCGGCACACCTGTATTCGTAAGAGGCTACGGGCCTGCTTAATAAGAAAACTGAGTACACGACATTAGCATTGATTTTAAGGAAAACATATTTATTTGCGGTTTATGTCTGTCAAACTGACAAAGGTCGTGTTAAGCAAGAGTGAATAAAAAGTAATTCACGTGACAAGATAAAGGAAAATAATAATGTAAGAAGGGAGTTGTTATAAAAACGAAAATCAAATCTATGGAAAGAAACTTTTAGATAGGGATTAATAGATTTTATTTATAGCCCGGCAATATTTAAAAAAAAAGAAGTCATATTTCGTGGCGGCTGCACGTGTTTGAATAGACATCCGTGTTTTATAAACAGCGTAAATCTATGCGTGCGCATTTGAGAGTCTGAATAAAGAAATAGTATCTTTCGGCAGGGATTGAACCTGTATCCTCCTTGTAGCGAAACCACCGAATAGTCTGGTGCCCTTTTAAACAGCTCGTCCACGGAATATTTCCCAATCAAGCAAAGTTCAATTATTCTATTTAAATGTACTGCAAGCCAATATCTACGAAATTTGATTTTATAGTTGTTCGAGATTTTCGTTCTGCCCTGGCCAACCTGCAACCACGTGGTACAGTTTGCAAGTCAATGGCGACGTTTTTACCAAATATAGAATCTACGGCTCACAGCCCTCAATTTGACTCGCCGTTTTCTTGATTGCGGAACATGTCCTCGATAGTGACATAGAAGATAAATCCGTCCCGTTCGAATCTGGAATCTTAAATATGGCTTCTCCAGAAACAGAGAAGATTCTGCGGCAGCTCGAAATCCCGTTGGGAATTATTAAAAGTATAACTTTGTTTTCATCACCATTTTATTCACATATGTTATATTTTCTCTGCGTGAGGCAAATGTAAATATGTATATATAATTTTGTGTATGAGCTAGCGACATAACCCTCTTGTAGGATTCAAAATCCTACATTCTTTTCAAAACCCATTAAAATAGGCTCAAAGCAGAAATACGGAATGTCACGTTCTGATTGGTTATTAAATGTGAAAAATAAGAGATGACGTGTTTTCGACTACACCCGAAGTGAATGAAAAGGCAGTCCCACCAAGTCATTGTGAGCCTATCACGTGACGAAATTTTCTTATTTAAGCGACATTTAAATCATTCCTTTTCAGTTAGGAGGGAAATTTTCTACCCGACGCCAGTCCACGCGTGTCATTATTCCAATATTCAGATTTCACGTTAAAAACATATTTTTAACATAATACTCAGCCTGCAATATATATTATTTCAAACAAATTTACAACTTGAATACGCAACCAAATTAAATATAAAATATCTGATCAAAGAAATATAAGCCTTTCAAACTCTCAGTAATTTTTTTAAAATTTACATAAATTAGTTGCAGACATAAACTGTTTTTAAATTTTACCATAAATATATAAATACTGAAATATACTTGTAGAGGACCGCGTGTGTTTGTGTTTTGTTTTATTAGAAACACGTTTGTAACTTCTGGTAGAATATTAAAAGATCCATCTACAAGAAAATGGCCGAACTTGAAGATAAAGAAGACAAACAAAACCGATAAATATATATATAAACAAATATATGTATTAAGCAAAACAATTTTACAATGGACAATAACATTTGTGTGTGTGTAAACATTGGAGTCTGTTCTTTGGTGAATGTTCGTATGTACGTGTATGTGTGTATAATGTTCATGGCGTCTCCCACAAATGGAAAGACGCGGATCTTCTAAGAGAGCTTACATCGCTGAAATGAAGAAATGAAAAAGAGAACGGGGCCTGAAATCGCTCAGTATTTATAGTATAGGGAGAATTACCCCTAGTGACAATTTGGGAATTAAGGAGGAGCTAACTCCGACATACTTTCTTATGTTTGAACATACATTATAACAACACAACTTTTTGATCCAAAATATTATTGACATTCAAATCATCAAACACAAAAACATTTCAACAATTTAAAATACTACATTCAACAAATATATTGTACTTGTTATTGTATATAAATATAATCAATTTATTATTAATGCATATTTTGCCTTGAACTTTGTTATTTTTTTGTCGCTCTTTATTTCGTTACATTAATATAAATGCAGTAGGGTGTTAGCTAAGCCCTACACTCTCCCTGAGAACATAGCAGGTTTAATATTTCTTTTCTTTTAGTTTTCTTTAGTTTGTTGCAGACCCGGTAGGGTGCAGTGCTGGTTTATTACAAAGTGGCCTTGTGCCAGACACCACACTAAGCTACCGAGTCCACAAACAATGTATAAAAAAAAATGTATGAATGAACAGAGAAGGGATTTGTGGTTAGTCCACACGTGCATAAATTAAAAATATTAATAAGATAGCCTGCACAGAATGACAGAAAACGACTGGATGCAAAACAAGTGTAATTTTTTATTAAATGGAAAAACAAGTAGATTATCTCGTGGTACGAGATCAGGGAAAAGTTCCGCGCCAAAATAGGATAGCAAGGTGAACACGGCGGGAAAAGTTTTTTTTTTTTTTTTGTTAAGTTCTGGAAAAAGGAACTCGTTAACACGAGGTGTAGATGTGCACAGATAAAAAGGTACTTACTGTGGATTTGGGTATTGTAAGTGTGTGTAGTGTTTTTTTTTTTTTTTTTTTTTTATCTTTTTTTATGTTCAGGTTCACGGTAGTGAGAAAGTTCAGTCATCTCAGATCTTGGGATCAGGCATTGAATTGACTGCTGAAAATTATTTACGACGAGCCAAAAGAGATGAAGAATATTTGTCGATAAGATATCCCTGTCTGTATCATTGTTAGGTTAACTGACGAGGAATAAATGAGTGAACTTGTTGGATCGAAGTTTTTAGCCCGACTGACTTCAAACGATTAGTTTGTCCGTGACATGAGAGAAAAAACGCGGGAAAAAACGGTAATTTAAATTTGTTAGATTGGTGACATCAGCAGGAGCCCATAAAACGGCAATAACTTTATTTAAAACAAAAGAAAAGGTTTACTGCTATGTTTAGCTTAACGAGAAAGGAAGGGGTGTAATCAGTGGACGCGCGCGCACACACGCACAAGTGTGGAAGGAAGGGAGGAAACTCGCGCGCGCGTAAAACGTAGATGGAATTACTGTATTATTCCATAAGTTATTTTATTCCAACCGTGGAATAAGGTATTATTATGTCATGGATATAATAATGCCCACAATGGGAGAAACGCGTTTGGGAGAATATTTCTTTCCCTCATATAGCTTACCCGACATGTGATATCATTAACCTCCATTAACTGGTAACAACGACGTCGTATATTATTATTATTATTATTATTATTATCTTTGATTTCTGGCGTTTACACATTTCTTTCCGGGTCCCGCCCAGGGACCTAAGGTTAGAAATGGCGTCATGACACTTTCCACTGACAAAAAAAAAAAAAAAAAAAATTACATAGATAAAGCCTTTCGTAAAGTGTGGACTGTACTTGTCAGAACAATTTTTTGTATCTCCTTGAGGCATGTACTTCCAGTAATCCCTTCAATTAGTCTACTGCAATCTTTTCCAACCAGTCCTAGGGCTCCAACTACAACAGGGATTGTTGATGTTCCCATATGCCACATTTTCGAGATTTCTATTTCAAGGTCCTTGTATTTTGACAACTTTTTGAATATCTTCAAAGATACATTGCAGTCAGCAGGGACTGCCATATCAATAAGGAGGCACCGTTTTTGTTTGTGGTCTTTAATAACAATATCTGGGCGGTTGGCCTTGATTGTTCTGTCAGTGTGTATTGTGTAGTCCCATAGAATTGTAACAGGTCCTATCTCCGTAACCGGGTCTGGGTGGTGTTCATACCAGTTTCTTTCAGTTTCCTTCCCGTAGAAGTTGCAGATTTTCCAGTGCAGATATTGGCCCACTCTGTCATGCCGGGTTTTATATTCAGTGGGTGCTAACATCGTGCAACCTGATACAAGATGATCAATCGTTTCTGGATATTTATCACAGAATCTGCATTTTGGGCTGACACAATATTTTAGTATATGTGCTTGATAATTCCTAGTTAGCAAGCATTGGTCCTGCGCAGCAAGGATAAAACCTTCAGTTTCCTCTTTCAACCCTGCACTACGTAGCCACTGATGGGTACGGGTTTTGTCTATGTCAGCTTGTTTAGTACGGGCAGCGGTTTATCTTGCCACCGCTTCTGTATCTGGTCGGTTGCATTCGTCTTTGCTGTCTTTTTTTTTTAGGTATTTTGCAGTTTCAGCCGGTGTATTGTGCTGTAGTTGCATCTCTACGCCCATTTGAAACTCCATTTTGAATTTGTTGGCTTCTTTCATTACGGAGTAAAGACGCTTACTACTTTCATGTTCCTTGACGCATACCATCATCCAGTCTTCTGTAGTTTCCAAATATCTTTGGAGGCCAATTGTTGTAGTTTTGTATGACAGTTCCAGTTGAACTAATCCGCTGCCTCCTTCGGATCTGGGCACATACAGACGATCAACATCAGCCTTGGGATGATGCATGCGATAGCAAGTGAGAAGCTTTCTTGTTTTGGCGTCCATTCGCTTAATTTCAGCTATGGTCCAGTTAAGGACATTAAAGCTGTATTGCACCACAGGGACAGCCAATGTGTTTATGGCTGATATCCTGTTTTTTTTAGTTTAGCTCAGTATTTAGTACCAGACGCACACGCCTGTATTACTCTTTTCTTATTTTTTCCTTCATTTGGGGGTGTTGTATGCCATCTCCTTCACTAATTCCTAGGTACTTATAAGCTTCACCATGCTCCAGTTCCCTAATCTTTGTGACAAAATCTAAATCTATTAAGGGTGTTTCTGTAATTCTACCTTTCTTAAATGTTACTTTTGCACATTTATCTAATCCGAAGTCCATACCTATTATTATTATTATTATCACATCCATTATAACGTTTTTAAAGTAATAATAAGGAACAGTATTTACATTAGTCGGACTATTGTCCTCATCTTTGTCGCCATATTTGTCACAACGTTTCGGCCGTTGTACGCTCCGGCCTTCTTCAGGTGGTTGGAATAGGCCGGAGCGTACAACGGCCGAAACGTTGTGACAAATATGGCGACAAAGATGAGGACAATAGTCCGACTAATGTAAATACTGTACATAATACCTCATCTGAGAAATATAGACAGACTCAATAATAAGGAAGCTTGTAAATTTAGTTAAGGGCTGTTGTCTGTAAGAGGAAATATCGCAAGAAGGAACAATTTTGTTTCAAGAATTAATTGCATCTCAACAAAGCAAAAAGACAATATTGGAGAATTTTGTATCCTATAATTATCATAGAAAACATAAAGAAGATGCTAGTTTTTATTGAAACAAAGTATAGATCAAAATGAAAAAGGATTGAAATTACATTGGTTAATATTGGAGTCGTTTTGAATCGGATTTTCACAAAGATCAGAAAAGCATTTGAATAGATTATTTTTAAAAGATCAGTAAAAATAATTTTGACATTAAACAATGATTTAAAAAAAATGTACATTATGTTGAAATAGTGTGAATTCAACATGATTAGATCATATCAAACATCCTGAGAAAGTGAATTAATTGAAATGTCGCTTTATATAGAATTAAAAAAAAAAAACAAGAATCTAAATTCTGGTAACAATTTAAATTGTTTTATTCTCTTGAGTGAAAAAGGAAAATTGTCTTTTGATCTTGGTTTAAAAATAGAATAAAATTTATTAGTGGGTAGGAGAATTTCTATCAGTCAATAAGAGCAAAAGTTCAAAATATTCTAAATGTCAAAAAGGGATTAAAAATATTGGCTCATTATTTGTACATAAACATGCGAAATAGGAATTGAATTGGGAAAGAGCAAGCAACAACAGATTCTATCTATCTAGTTCTGTTCCTTTCCATCTATCTGGTTTTGTTTCTTTCTTTCCGTCTATCTATCTAGTTCCGTTTCTTTCTATCTATCTATCTATCTATCTATCTATCTATCTGTTTCTGTTTCTTTCCATCTATCAATCCAGTTTTGTTTTTACTTTCCATCTATCTATGTTTCTTTCTTTTTTTCTTTCTTTCTATCTATCTATCTATCTATCTATCTATCTATTTCTTTCTTTCTATCTAGTTCTGTTTTTTTCTTTCCATCTATCAATCCAGTTCTGTTTTTTCTTTTCATCTATCTAGTTCAGTTTCTTTCTTTCTTTCTTTCTTTCTTTCTATCTATCTATGTTTCTTTCTTTCCATCTATCTATATAGTTCTGTTTCTTTCTTTCCATCTATCTAGTCCTGTGTATTTCTATCTATCTATCTATCTATCTATCTATCTATCTGTTTCTGTTTCTTTCTTTCTATCTATCTAGTTATGTTTCTTTCATTCCATCTATCTATGTGATTATTTTTCTTTCTTTCCATCTATCTATCTGTTTCTTTTTTCCATCTATGTATCTGATTATGTTTGTTTCTTTCCATCTATCTATCTGGTTCGATTTCTTTCTTTCCATCTATCAAGTTCTGCTTCTTTCTTTCCATCTATCTATCTGATTCTGCTTCTTTCTTTCCATCCATCTTGTTCTGTTTCTTTCTTTCTATCTATCTATCTGCTTCTTTCTTTCCATCTATCTAGTTCTCTTTCTTTCTTTCTGTCTGTCTAGTTCTCTTTCTTTCCTTCTATCTAACTGTTGAGTTGTTGGGAGTGTTCCCGCGTGTGTGTATTCGAATAAAGACAAACACAGTTGTAGGGATAAATACTGGTATATTTGTAAGAGGTAATTAACAACAGAGTGATTAGTAATAAGGAACGCCGGTTAGTAAGTAACAATAGCAAAAGTCTACAGTCCAACGGTATGTAATGGTAACCTGATCTCGACTGCTGTCGCTGAACCTGATCCTTCACACAACACAACTACTCTCTCTAGCACTGACTTATATCGTAGAGGGATAAGTCATTATCAGTCAGGATGTGGGTGCGCCCCACCCCCTAAAATTGTTTTTTACATTGTGAAAAAAAATATTTTTTCCTTTTCGGGTCCATTATAAATTGTTGCGTCGCTTTTCGCTTTCTACCAGATCTGCGCTGTTTTTTCTCTGTCTGTGGTATTTGTAGATCGTTAAGGGGCGCTCGTAGAATGTGGAGGTCTGGGATAAAATCCTAGTAATATGACACCAAGCCTAAAAAACTTTGTAGGGATTTAATATCCTTTGGCTCAGGCATATTTTTTATTGCTGATGCTCGACTTTTATCTGGCTTTTCCCCTTCTTTATTCACTATACGTCCCAGATACTTGATCTCCTCCAGGAGAAAATCGCATTTATTTTCTTTCACTCTAAATCCATAGCTTCTTAACCTTTCGAAAACTTTGCGTATATCGTCGAGATATGCTATCGTGTAGTCTAACCCGGATAACATAGTATCCATTATTTTCTGGAATATTGCGGGTACTGTCTTCACCCCGAACGGTAAACGTTCGTATCTGAACAAGCCTTTATGCGTGTTAATGCATATCAACCTTGTGCTTTCGTTATCCATGGGTACTTGCAAGTATGCCTCGCTAGATCTATTTTCGAAAAGATTTTTCCGCCATTTAACTTTGCGAACTCTTCTTCGGGACTTGGTAGTGGATAGTGATACTCTTCTATTGCGTCGTTTAGTCCGGTTGAAAAATCGGCGCAGACGCGAATTTCGCCCGACTTCTTCTTTACGTAGACAGCCGGAGCTGCCCAGTCACTGTATTCCGTTTTCGAGATCACAGCAATTCTCGTTAGTCTTTCGAGTTCTTGGTCAATTTTTTCTAATGCGGCAAAAGGAATGCTACGCTTTTTTAAAAAAATTGGTTGAATATTTTTCTTCAGCTGTATTTTTGCTGATGCTTCCGTGCAACGGCCAAGTCCTTCAGCGAAAACTTCGGTGAATGCTATTTTCAATTCTGTTTTTAAATTGTTTATATTGTCTTTGCTTTCACTAATGTTGTTACAAAAAGAACTAATGGGCACGTCCCATAGATTGAACTTAGTGATTGCGTCAGTCCCAAACAGGTTGTTCGTATTCTTCATAACAAAAATTTTCATTTTTATAGTTTTGCTGTTGAAAGTTATATTCACCCATATTTCACCTTCAAATTTTATCTTTTTTTCAGTTACCGTCCTGGCTATTTTGTTGGACTTTAGCAGAGTTGGCTTTCCTAGATTTTTCCATGTTTGTGTGTTAATAATCGAAATGTCAGATCCTGAATCTAGTTGCATTTTTACCTTCTTGTTGTACATTTTTACATGTAGGTATTTTCGAATATTCAGGCCTTGATCTTCGTCTGACTTGGTAACTTTCACTCGACTTCTGTTTAATTTTCTACACTTGGACATCTTATGTCCTACTTTCTTGCAATTTCTGCAAGTTTTATTTTTATATGGGCAATCATTGTACCAGTGCCACTGGCCACATCCATAACATGCACTCGGAGGGAGCTTTTTTCTATAGTCTCTGTTCGTTTTTGGAGTAGGATACCACTTCCGTTCCGGCGGTGGAGAACGGAAACGAGTCTTCCTATTTACTTTCTTCACATTTGAGATAGCAGTTTCTTCTATTTTTTCTGAATCTTGCTTAATGCTTACGCATTGCTGACAGTACTCGGCTAGCTTTTGTAGTGTCATGTTTTGGTCATTTTCTAGCTTTGCTAAAATGCCTCTTCGCATTTCGCTATCGTTACATGTCTTATTTACGATTGACGCGAAAGTCGTGTAGTCTTCCTGCTCGCTTTTTTGAATATTAAGGCATTTCCACCTTTTGTGAAATAATGATAATCTGGGGTTGAAGAGCTCTTTTAGTAATTCAATTGCTTCGTCGAATTTTAAATCTCTTGTCTTTTTGGGTAATATAAAGTCCGTAAACTTATTATGTTCTGTCGTTCCCAGTTTTCGTAGCAATAATCTTATCTTTTTCTCGTCTGTCCATGTTTGGCAATCGACTTCATAAAAGTCCTGATATCTATGATAATATCTTTCGAAAGTCTTTTCCTCTTCTGGGTTATAGGTAAAACTTTCGATCGTCGACCATATTGTGTCTTGAGAAAAAGTACTTTTATCCGAGTCTTTCTGCTTAGACAGTATAGCTTTATGTATAAGTTCAGTCATTGCTAACTGTTTCTTTTCATTTTCTTCTTGTGTTTTCTGAAAATTCAATAATTTTTCCTGAAAACGTTCTTCACTCTCTTGTTGTCTTTGCATCTGATACTTAATGAGTCCAGCATAGATGATTGAAATTGCTCCATGCTTATGTATGTGTAGAGAAAAAAGAAAAATTATGTGTGTATTTTTTTTCTCTCTGAGGGGGGCCAAAAAATTAATCAAATTCTCTGGCACGACAATTTTTTTTTTTTAGTACAAAAAATTGGTTATTAAAGATTCCAATTTAATCAATAAGTTAATGTCTAACTTAGAGTTTTTTCTTTTTGTCGATAAACTTTTCAATCCTTTGCTGTGAAAAAATGCTTGAACGCTTTTGAATTTTTCCGTGTTGAAAATCGTTTCTTTCGCTGTTGCGATATTTATTTTTCAACGTAGGTTCTTTTTATCCCGTTCGAAGCCTCGTCGCCACTGATGAGTTGTTGGGAGTGTTCCCGCGTGTGTGTATTCGAATAAAGACAAACACAGTTGTAGGGATAAATACTGGTATATTTGTAAGAGGTAATTAACAACAGAGTGATTAGTAATAAGGAACGTCGGTTAGTAAGTAACAATAGCAAAAGTCTACAGTCCAACGGTATGTAATGGTAACCTGATCTCGACTGCTGTCGCTGAATCTGATCCTTCACCCAACACACCTACTCTCTCTAGCACTGACTTATATCGTAGAGGGATAAGGCCATTATCAGTCAGAAGGTGGGTGCGCCCCAACACTATCTGTTTCTGTTTCTTTCTTTCCATCTATCTATCTAGTTCTACACCCACTCATACTGTTATTGAAACTGTTGAATTCTCAGCTTATTTAAGGGAAATAATAATTGACTTAAGAAATCGCCTTGCCTGTTTATCAAATTTGAACCCTATTGAAAATGTTTGAAGCATCGTCAAAAGTGTGGGTTATTCCATTTGGCTCGCCATGACACCGTTAAGTGATGCTTTTAAACAGCTATAAACCTGGACACTTCCTGTCTTCTTTATCTTTTCTCTCTTTTCCTTCTAACATACGGCAGTAACAACACCAGCACAGGACCTTGTTCCCGGGCATGGGGATATATTTCCATGAGCGACTAAACTTTTTCACGAACACACAGACGTGAGTGTATCCCACACACATGCAGAATTATACAATTCATCATTGCTAAATTTTGATGTCTTCTTTCCTTTCTGATGTATTTACATTCAGACTAGCGTATTTTCTCTCCATTGTTAAATGCCGTATAAAACACGTGGACATATTGAAATTTCTTCCATTTCCTTTCACCTCGAATGACAATAATGATCTATCGTCAACATGTGTAAATTTTGTTTGACACTGATTTTAGTCCAACTAAGCAGGGTCGGAGCGTACTACCCCCGAACTTCCCGACAGGGTGAGGGCAAGCCTGATTGGTGGGCATGGATAGTACTTTGTAACCCTTGCTATCTTACCAACATTTGCTTTTTTTCGACCTACATTTACATACGTTACAAATTAAACTAAGTACAACTATTAAAAGATTAAAAATTTTCGTGAATTTTGACGCCATTCCGGGATTTTTTTCGTCCAAATCCGTGAATTTGTTTTGTCTCGAAAAACACGGAATATAAAATTCATTATTTTATATTCATAATTTTGAATGTGTTAAAATTCAACATCTTTTTAACAAGAAAAATACAAAGTTGATGTTAAAAATTGCCACAAAATGTCGATTTATTTAAGATGGAGTGATCTATTATGATATGTCTCTAATTTGTATTTAGAAACATTTTATTAGGAAAGCAGTGCGTAACACATTTGATAAGCTTGAGTAAATGGATGGCAGAACAGGGTTTGGGAGAAATAACAAAAAGATAAAACTTATTAAGAGCTACAAGGGACAAGAAGAGGTGGAGGGCCATGATCACTTAAGTTTTGAAGGGACACGACACATAAAAGAAGAAATAATATTGTTTTTTTACTGTGTTATTCAACCCAAATTGTTATAGTTTGCTTTGTTTGTCATTCTTAGAATAAATCATTAGTCTTATTAAATTTTCTTGCTCATTTTTTTCCTTCTAGTTTTTCTAATTTATTCTTTAGGGATGAGAGTGCATACAAACTGGAACTTCTTAAAGATATATACGTGTTGGTTAAGTCTGTGAAGTTATCTGATGGTTGTAAGTTCAGTCGCTGAGCCAGGCAATAGAATTCACGTTTTCTGCTTCACAAGGACAAATTAACAAAGAAGAATTAACTGATGCGAGTTATTTCCCTTTAGCATAGGTGTTTGGGTATCAACGAATGGGGTCAGTAGAAACACAAAAAAAAAAAGTTTAATCATAGATCTGTTATAAACAGTCCAGCAGGCAACATAGTAACAGAAACAGGGTCAGAAATCCAACCTTCCCCTGACAATAGCCAAAATGCTCTTTCACTCACCAAGCTCATGATCCTTCTCCTTGGTAAGTAAAAAAAGCAACGGCCTTTATTCACTGAGCGATTTTTCTGACTGGCCAC